GGTGGGGGCACATTTCTCACAGGAGGGCCACTCTCTTTCCAATCTCTCAGTCCTGATCCTCAAGGGAAACTTACACAACACTTCCCAGAGACGAGCCTATGAGCTCCATTTCATCAACCTGCTGGATACTAGAGATCAGGGACTAAACATAGACATTGGATTTTTGATACATTACAATCTGCCTGGCAACTGACTCCCCAGCCCAGCCCAGCCCAGCCCCTGGCTTGTTTGCTTTTCATTCCATCCAGGAAGAGCACACACCAACTGCTGCAGCTTCCTGAGCCTGACGAAGGGTTTTTGAACCCGAAAGCTTGCTCAATAACTATTCTTCAACCATTTGGGTTGGTCTAATAAAAGATATCAAATTCACCCAAGGAACCTTGTCTGCCTATATCCTTAGACCAACACGGCTACAACCTAAACCCCTGTAACTTCTGTACACACCCTTGAAGTAGGCAGGGGGACGTGCTGCAAAGGAAAGGGAAATACATCTCCAAAGCTAACAACAAGGTGAAAGCTAGTGAAAAGCCTATCACTGAGGTGCCTTGTTCAGCATTTCCTGTGACTGAAAGCATCCTTGTGTCAGGGACTAAACTCTCATTGACTTCAATTACAGCAATATTGAGCCACAGTTTGCTTAGGGTAGAAGTCATTTTGGAAAAGTTGTCATCCTAGCTATTGGTTGAGAAAACGAGGTGGGGGAAGAGGAGAGAGAATATATTTTTTCTATTGACTGACAGCAAAGAGTCAATTCCTTGAATCTTTTTGAGGAACAAAGGCTTCCATGGGCTCTATTAGCATGTTTGAATATTCATGGCCTATTCAAATACGCATTATATATTCCATTCCCACAGCAGCACCTGTGTGACAGAAGGTTCAGCTGATCTGTTCTGCTATTCCAGGTTGTGTTGGGGGCACCTCCTTTGGTATCTTTTGTAAACAAAGGGAAATAAGAGTAAGTCGAAATAGAAAATAACCAAACAAAGCAAGACACAAGCTGTGCCTTAAAGGAAATACGGGAAATATCAAGGGATGCAGGCGAAGGGCCATATGTAAAATTGAGCTCCAGATTGTCCCTTGTGTAGAATCTGGAGGCTTGTGATTTGGAAACAACCCGTTATTATTTACAGAAACCTGTGTACAAGTATTTATTGTACAGAGGTGATAGTTTACTGCTGCCTTTGTGGTTGGTCTGCTTCCTATTCCACCACCTGGAAGTCCTTGACCTCATGCAGCATCTCATGGGCTAACAGACTTCCTGGACTCTCTGTGTGTCCATGAGTTCTTATTCAATGACCATTTTGTACTGCAGTGTTTGGCACAGGTGAAGCAAGAAGGACCCACCAACGAGCAAGTATCTCCTGGGCCATCCGCACAAGTTCTGATATGGGTTAGAGTAGCCCAGGGTTGCTGTAATTCAGGGGTGGCCAGCCTGTGCCATGCATGCCACAAGTGGCATGGGCAGCCTCTGTGCATGGCATGTGGCAGATCAGGGAGGGGACAGGCAGCCCAGCAGCAGACAGGGCAGAGAGCAGAGCAGCAGATCAGGCTAGGCATACAAGGCAGGGAGTAGAAAGGAGAGCAGGAGATTGGGATCAGAGTGGCACACGGAGATAGCACGGGGCTAATTTGTGACATGCCTGCTGAAAAGGTTGCCCACACTGCTCTAATTTATGCCAAGAGTAGTAGGCCCTAATGGGTCATGTCCAGTTGGTGATTGCAAGAGCACACTATGCTGTAGCTACACCCACAGCCTACCCATCAACAGCTCTGATATGCCCCTGATGATGAGGCCAGTTCAGCAGATAGTGCAGGACTGGGTTCTGCTGTTTCTGTGGCAGCTGAGAGTGCCTCCAGCAGAGAAAGTCTCAGCAGGCTTGATCCAGTTACTTTCTAGACATTTTTGTCCCACCTACGCTGTGCAGGGATGTGGAGGAGTAGAGAATTTGGCCTTAAGCATGCTGGAACATGCATGCATATTTATTGTCAAGGGTTCTGATTACTGAGGGTAAATCTAGCCACAGCACCTTCCTGTGCAGATTGTTAGAGAAGCTGGGCCCTAGTTAGGAGAAATGGTGACAAATCCTAACACATGTGGGAAACCTGTAAATATTCAGCACTGCGTCTGAGCTTCTCTGATGCCACAGGCTGTTTGCCTTAAAACAATGCAAACGAACACAGAGAGAAACTTATGTTAGTGAACAGCCGCATCAGGGAATGGTAATGACATGTTTGTATAATGCTTAGCACCTTAGACCATTATACACATTATAGGCTGGCATCACAGAGATTCTGGCTGGGACTCCGGGATGCTACTGCCGTGCAAACTTTCACAAAAAGAGAGCGAGTCCATTATATTTTTTAAAAAGATAATCAACATGGTGTTTGCACGTGAGATGGTTTCTAAGCTGTTTTGGTGATTCAGTCTTTCCTAAGTGCCCAGCTGCAACGATTCCCTGGGCCCAGTTCACTGTTGTCTTGCATCTGGTTTATTCATTTACCCCTGGGCCAGGTGGGTGCAAAATTGTATTGAACTTGGAGTGGTGGGGTTTTACCCCCACTTTGCACAGAAGTGCGCAAGGTTCATCGCAGCAGAGAATCAACCCTGATGCTCCACTCCCAGGTGCTCAGGTAGCTCATGAAGCTGTTTCTTCAGGTTTGTGTGCAAGCCTGGAACCCCATAAACCTTTAACCTTTTACATTGGGCTCATCTGACCCCAGCAGTCCTTTCTTTCCTGTCTAAGAGCAGGAGGGCTGGACCTGATGATCTCATGAGATCCCTTCCAGCCCCTAACTTCTATGAATATATGAACTGAGGAAAATGTTCAAACACAGGGTAGCAATTCCCTCCACCTGCAAAATACCCAGAGCACAAGAGGGTTGCTTACCTGGGGGTGTTCCAGGACGCTGAAAATTCGATTCAGCCTAAGCATGTAGCCCTCGGTTCGTCCAGTATTGATTTGGCCCAGAGCCACATCTACTGCTGACTCCACTGCTGAGTCATTGCATGCAGGGAAGAGGAAAGGACTTTGCAGTTCCTTCACAGGAGGAGAGAAAGCCTGGGAGCACAGTGCCTGTATGCCAAGGAAAAGCAAAATAAGCAGGGCCATTCTGCATGAAAACAGTTGCTGCAAGGGATTGCACTTGGAAGTCAGGACAAGGAAGCCAAGGCTAGCCCACAAGAACAGACTATTGAAACGGATTCAGGACTTTTTATACCCATAGTGTCCCATTTATACAGCCTACTGACCATCACCTTTCAACTGCAGACAGAGCAACTGCAAACACTAAGTCAATGATTAGAAGATTGTACATAAGTCATGCGGCTGTTTATAGACCAGATTGTGTTCTTAGCTGGATCTCTCTTACATTCATCAGGCAGGTTCACCTTGGACAGTTCACCTCAGTGATTTGTATAAGGCAGCAGGCACTACACGGAGAGCTGGTCCAGATCTATTAATGGACCAGCTGTGCTCCCACTCAAGTCAGTGACAAAATTCTTGCCGGTTCTACCAGGAATGGGACCGGGCCCACCATCTTGGTAACTGATTTTGCACTTCTCTTGTTAAATTAAATGTGCATTAATGACAGTGCTCAGCCTCCCTGGGATGTATATATCCAGCTTCCGGGCTTTGAGAGAGAGACTTTGATTTGGATTCATCCTAAAAGTTGACATAGGAAAAAAAAGCCATGTCCAAGGAGACCCAGGATTCATAACGTGTTGTTCAAGCAGAACTCTCCACTAGCTTCATTATAACTCATCGTAGTGATCCAGATGCCATACGTGTTATTGTAGTGATCCAGAAGTGCTTCCCAGATGTATAGGCACTGTCTCTGCCCCAAAGGGCTTGAATGCCATGGAGAGACCTGATGCAAAGTGAGCTGCTGCAATAGGTGGGAGGAGATAGGAAGATGAGTGGGGCAGGTCGTGTGGTTACACGTCATATTATGTAACATCTTCCTCAGTGTGTACAAAGCTACCAGCCCACTAACATCCCTCTTATCATCCTTCCACACCTATGTACTGTCCCTCTGTGTGCTCTGTTTCCCTCCAGCCACCTCTCATCAACCTGAAAGCCTCCTGCTTTTCCTACCCCTCTTTATTTGACTTTCCTCTCACTTCATGTGGCAGTTCCAGGTGAGCTGTCCTGCAGACACCCCCATTTCCCCCAGCAGCCAGCACAAGCCCTTGGCCCTCTATGGGCAGTGAAGGCTGCTCAAGTCCCCCCGTCACCTCCCCACTCCCCACTCCTATCCTGGCTGCTTGGACAGACCCCTGCAAACATCCTCTTGAGGCATTCTGCCACTTACATATTATCAAGACAAGACTTATAGTAACGAAAACTTTCATTAACTTTGGCCAAACCCAGTGAGGATGGGGGAGCAGCCCAGAAAGAGAGTGTAAGAGCAAGGGGGTGTAACCTGCCCTGATAAGTATTACCCTTGTGCCAAAGCTTGGATGGGAAGAGCCTGACAGAGAAAGCTACTCACAGGACAGTGTAAAGCTGAATGAGGGGAAGAGCTTTTCATCTCGCAGCCTACAGTCAGTGACTTGGTGCTTATTCTACCTCGCATCCCTTTGGCACTTGTCTTTCTCACACACTTCTTAATGTCACTTTGATGCTGGAAATGCTGCTTGTGCACATTAACCCACTTTTTCACTGGTTCATACTACCATTTGCATTATTCCTGCATTTAATCCAGGGGCTCCTTTCAGAGCCACAGCTCTTTTCACCATGTCTAAATCTGGCATCCTGGTACCCCCCCTCAATTTTCCATCTCATTCCAAGGCAGTTTTATTGACCTCCTACCTCGGTACTGGGACAGTCACTCAGAGGCAGCAGGGACACCTACTGAATGTGCCCCTCAGACTGACTCCTCTAAGTGCTGACACAGCCTGTCTCAGCCTTGTCGCGGGTGTAACAGGAATATCATGGCAGTGGCATATAAGGATACAGGCTGGGGGCTAGCGCAGATGGTTCCTGCAATGCTGCTATTTTAGTCTTAAGTAGCAGCGCTGAGTGGTGCTCTGGCATCCTTCCTTTTCAGCAGCTAGAGCATTTAAATACAATCCTGATGTGACTTGCACAGCCCTCTGCTGACTTTTTGAGGTTTTTCTGTCAACGAAGGAGTCACTCACTACTCACCTATTAACCCGCAGGCCAGTTGCAAAATGGAAACAGCAAGAGGCCAGGGAGATCCTTTCTAGAGCAATATCCTTTTGAAAGAGCACTGAGTTCGGGGCTGACCCAGAGGCAGCCACACGATTAAGGAAAGGAGGGTGGAAGGAGCAGACCCACACATCACCCCAGTGGCTTGAGAGAAGGACAGCCAGAATTGTCCTTGTGGGGAGCATGGTGACTGCTACGGAGATCCCCCGACAATGCTTCACTGTGAAGGACATGGAGAGCACACAGAGCCTTGGCTCCATTGCTCACATGTGCTGGATGACTCTGCAATGCGGGGCAGCTCCATGCAGTGAGCTCCCTTACATCTCCATCCTGCTCCCTGCAATGGGCCACAGCAGTCTGGCCCACAGAGAGTTTCCTTCAGTCGGTCAGTCAAAAACAGCTGTCCAGAGGCTGGGCCACTTCCATCCAGGACGTTTGGGATGGAGAATATTGGAAGGGGGGTTGCAAATCTCCAGGAGCCCAGCGTTTTTTAAATAAAGTTTTTCCTCAAAGCTTTGTTGACAAGATGCACATGAGAATCTCTGATTAAACTGTGCCCCTTTCTCCCCTTCCCTGCCCCTCTCCACCACCCCCAGCACTCCATCAGTCCCAGCCTACTTAATTAGGGCTACCTCCCGGGCTGGGGGCCCTTGGTTTTCAGACCTGGGCCTTTGATTGTGTAGTGCTGGGAAGGAAGTGTGCAATACAAGGGCAAAGACTTGTTCTACTAAAAATACCATCCCCTGTCTCAGTGATGGAGAACAACACCAGAATCGCAGCCCTGGGGGGCCAAGCCCCTGAGCCACATGACGGGCACGGCAAAGACGCAGCATCACAGCCTCCCTTGGATTGCTCACTGCTAACTTGCCCTGACCCTGGGTTTGGGAGCACTTTTCTCCTATTGAAAGGGTAATGCAAATAATTCACCCTCTGTATCCATCCAGTGTTTGGCCTGACAGTGACAACATGGCTGCCAATTAGCACCAGCTGGGCAGGTGGCTCCTCTGATGGGGAGTTGTTATATTCTTGATTTTGTTCTCATCTCCCATTTTCAGCAGCTGGATGGAAGCAACTTTTCTATCAAGTAGCTGCTCTCAGTGCACCAGCCCGAACATGTAGGTAGCCAGCAAAGCTCAGGGCATCCTTCTGGAGTAGCAGGCAGGACACAGCTTGTTGATGTGTCAGCCAGAGACAGTGAAAAGCACAGTGAGTGACTGGTGCAGATCTGACCCAGCCAGTCCTCTGTCACTCAAAGGAAAGGAGCGTTTTTATTTTATGGGATAATTGCCATTCCTGTAGCCTTCATCCCCCTAACATCTGAGTACGCCACTTAAGAGGATCAGCTGTGCACAGTGCTGTGCTCTACTGAGGGACAAAGTAACAACATTGAAAGCCAATGATGCAAATGCATCCTCTTACAGGGGTGGGTGTCAGGGAGAGGGAAGATGAGAGATAATGAAGTGCTGCATTAGATGAGCCTGGACTGTTTTATGGATAAGAGAGGGTACTTGTGCCAGGAGAAGGAGCAGAGGAGCTGCAGAGCCTGGAAGCAGAAAATATTCTCTGTGCCCTTGTTTTGCTGTGGCAGGGGAAATGCTGCCACTTCATCACACAGGGATCTGCAGGGATTCCTGCTACAGATGTGCTCATTTCTGCCAGGGAAAGGAGGCTTCTTCCCTGGCCAGGAAGCATCACATGTACCTTGTACAGGGTAACACGTATAGCATACTCTAGGTGCTTACTCCAGTTTTGTGAAAGTAAATCCAGGGTGTAAAAACAAGTAGGGAAATTCATTCTCTTGAGAGGATCATGGAGCCGGTGCACTGTATTGAATGCAAATCGAATGGGAACAACCCTGCACTGAGTGGTGCTGGTGTGTAAGGGATGAGAGAGTATGAGGAAGGTGTATGGGATTTCCCTCCCCATGAAAGCAAGAATCCTACTGGCTTACTGTCAGGGCACTATGCCACCAAGGCTGTGAGTTAGCCACATAGCACACTGCTTTAATGGAAGGTGCTCAAGTCCTGCGGTTAGGAGTGAAGTATTATTAGGAGCTTTGCAGAAAAGCAGACAGGATGTGTGCTCTGCCAGCTTTGCAGCACGTCCAGCCAGTTGGTAGGCAGCCAGTGCTGCTCCTGTTTAGAGGGAAAGGAGTGAGTTCCCCCTAGCTGGAGAATCCTAGCATCTCTGACAAGATTCATACAATGATGAATGTCCTGGCCAGTCTCCCTGACTGTCATCACTGCACTCCCCAAGGTATAAATTGGTCTTTATGTGTATGAGACAGGGAGATGCAGCTCTGTTGCATCAGGTTCAGGAGACAGTGCAGAGCTGCAGGGAAGGCTTGAGGGTGCTGCTGCCTGGAACAGGAAGTTCCCAGATAGATGTGCCCAGGGACAGCTGTCTGTTAATACAGCAGTAACTGGCAGTCTGAACTGTTGTAACTTGGGACTATTTGCTGGGAGCGTATTTGTATTCATAGTCTAAGCTGGAATTGGTTAATAAGCACAGTGGTCAGTAGGCCCTTGCGAATAGGGAAGTGTTGGATTTGGATTCGGCCGATTCAGAGGACAGTGATTCAATTCAGAGATTTGGATTGCTGTCCCGAATCAATTTGGTTGAATCGGCTTCAGAAGATTCGGCTCTGATTCGGAGAGATTCGGTGATTCGGCCATAAACTATAATGGGGAATCACTGAAATACCTATAACTTTGTCATTTTTTGTCAGATTTGAATGAAAATAGCAAGAACGGTAGCCCCTTCTGAGAGCATGAAGCTGCCAAGTTTCAAGGAGATAGGTGCAGGGATTTCTGGGAAACTGTACGTCAAACCGCTAAAAGTGAAACTCATGTCGTGTGTTAAGTCAGATTTGGATGAAAACTGCTGGGATGGTAGCCCCTTCTGAGGGCATGAAGCCTGCCAAGTTTCAAGGAGATAGGTGCAGGGGTTTCTGGGAAACTGCACCTCAAGCTTCTGAAAGCAAAACTCAT